AGCTACAACTATAAATTTTTTATTATAAATTATAGCAAGGAGAAAGATAAAAATTGGTAATTCTTTTCAACTAGTAATTTATGAATATTCATGGATAGTGAAAAAATGAGCGCACTGTTACAAAAAAAAGAAAGGTCAATAGTAATTATTAGCATATTATCATCAATCAATTTGACCTTTCAGATTTCAAAATAAATTTCTCTTTCATCTTTCCATTCTATATTTGACAATTAATTAAAATAAGAGACAATAATGATATCTAGTTAAATTTCAATATATCAAACTAATAGTTGTCTGTCTTCTTTTTTAAAAAAAAAAGCTTATTGAGAAGTATCTGGAAATTTTGAATAATTCGAAATTAACAGTACCTCACGTACGTCATCATCTAAACATTAATATTTTGAGGAAATGGATAATATTGAAAATCATTTTTTCTGCCAGGAAACAATGAATTATATACATACATAATTGCATACAATGAAGCAATACTATAATAATAGTTTCTCTTATCTCTCTTACTATTAAGTAAGATAAAGAGATAAGTTGAGTTAACTTACTATTAAGTAAGTTAACTCAACCTCTCTCTTTATAATGTACCTTTTCTAAGAAGGTAGAGAAGAGAAAATAGTAGTAGCTCGAGGATAACTGAATAAAAGCGCCGAGCTCTAATAGCATAAAAGATTTTTTTCAAATATTATGGGATACGATGCAACCAACATAACATAACAATGCACGCACGCTATCATCGCTTTTCTGCCTTTACTTAATACGCTATTACTGCAACTGCAGCTGCTGTTACTGCTGCTAGTGGTATTGGCGGATTGAAGATGCTGCAGATGGTGGTGCTACTATAACTGAACCTACCCCGTGGTGCGAAAAGGACCCACCCGAGCTGTGTCAATAGTGGAATGAAGCCAGCATTAGAAGTGAAGGCCAGTGAGAGTGAGGCGCCACTGACCTTGTCTCCCACCACCACCCCAATAGCACATTCGCATTTGGTACTCGGTCCCATCGATGATTATACTACCATTACCACCATCATCACTACTATTACTACTATACTACTACTAGTACTACTATTATTAGTACTACTACTACTATTACTGCTACTATTGTACTACTATACTATTACTAGTACTACTACTACTAGGATTACTATACTAATACTAGCATTACTGCTAATGTACTAGTAGTACTAATATGCTATTACTAGTAGCACTAGTATGTTATCACTATACTACTGCTACTGCTACTGCTACTGCTACTGCTACTACTACTACTACTACTACTACTACTACTACTACTACTACTACTACTACTACTACAACTGCTACCACTCTGCTGCTGTTACCAGTGAATGGTAATTCAGTAACTCTCTTCATAACAGCACCTTGCTCTTATTTCTTCACCCATTGACCTTGATTTTTACTACTATCTGTCCCCTTTTCATTCTCATCCTTTCCTCTCTCCATAATTTTTCCATCTCAAATTACTGTCATCCCTCATCCATTCAACCAATATCATTTACCTCTATTCAAATTAGGCCCTTTACAGTTTGTCACTTTTTTAATCTTTTCGTTAAAAATATGCTTTTTAATGTAGTGTGTGTGTGTGTGTGTGTGTGTGTGTGTGTGTGTGTGTGTGTGTGTGTGTGTGCAATTTAGGAGGTGGATAGGTGAATGTTAGAATTTTCCTGATTAAAGTAATATTAGCCTAGACACGAGATATACGGGATATGGAAGTACGGAGAACTGATAGACTCTCTCCGCTTTACTCTTTTCTCTCTCAGATCCGATCTTTATACTTTATCTTGAATAATCATTTCTACTCTATCATACGTCATTCATCATAACTCATACATTTTTATTTTTTCATTTTAAAAAAAGAAAAAATTCTTGTCATATATAATCTTTCCAGCGATACAACCCTGCTCTTTTTTTATCTTTGCTTATCACAATACAAACTGATCTGCCAATTATTCTTATCTTTGTTTATCTGATAGCTTAATCGTATTCAAGATCACAATATCCTGTGGTACCTAACATTGATTTGAAATCCATTTTTATACTGTTATCGAAACATTCAATCTATTACCATATATTTTTTTTGGGCAGAAATTAGTGTTAACTTATGGATTAAATCTGTGATGAGAAAATTTGAATTCCAAATAGCGACCTTAGCAAAAGGTCAAAGTTGCTATTTGGAATTCGAAACCTTTGGCAAAGGATCGCTGGTTTCGTTGGATTTCAAACCAGTCGGTTTAAAATTACTTCTAAAGGGACGAGTTTTACATTAAAATCTTAAAAGTTTAAAGTTTAAAGTTGTGTAAAATTTAAAGTTTTTCAAGTAATTACAGGTTATGCTTGGAAAATATTTGTTGTGTAATAAGTTTCCAGATTATATATAAATTTTGTAAAATAAAACTTTAAAATACCGATAGGAATGATAGTATGGATGGTGGTGATAATAACATAGATAATAGTGATAATACTATATGACTCGTTAGATTGGTCAGAACTATGACTTATTAATGGATGAAATTACTTCAAGCACTGATGAATGTAAATGAGGGTGAAGCTATCGATTTAATCTTACAATTGATCTTATGATAAATTATCATATCATTATAGAGGTAAATAATTTTTGAGTTATATGCTTCTTAAATCATCGTTGTTGTATTTAGCTGCTGGTATTTGTTATGACTGTGATACACCGTGGGAGAGAGAGGGAGAGAAAGAGAGAGAGAGAGAGAGGGGAACAGATAACTGAATCTCCTGGAAATTCTCACTCCTGTCCAATAGAGAGGAAGCGGTGATCTTTGTAAATTTTCTCACGATAATGTAAAATTTTAGGTTTTCAATTTAGCATAATACAGCCTTTCATTATTTACTATTTTTCTTCAAAAAAAAAAATTAAAAAAACTGTACTTTGTTCACAGTTAATAATTACCTTCTGTTCTCAAGTAATTTTTAAATGAAATCGAAAAAAGTTGAAGTAACATTTTCTTTTGCGTTATTTTTTTAATCAGTTAATACTAATACTATAGAAATGTTTTCTTATCAGTTAATGTATGAAATATCATATCGCTCTTATCAGATGAATGTTAGAATTTTTTGGGATAAGTTCAGATACATAAATTCTATTCCCTCATTTGTTGATTTGTTGTGTTAAAAAAAAACATTGTTTATGTAAATCAATAAAGAAAATAATCGATATACTTTTATGGTGCAAGAAAAGTTAAATTGTTGGCAGACAATTAAGTAATCTTTAGTCTGTTAACGAGTAGCCAGCTAGCTGACAATGAGAAGGAAATGAGAAGATAAAATTTGAAAATGTGCGAATAAAATGAAATATTGCAAATTGTAATAATTTCGTTTTTCTTAATATTTTCCATACTTGTATCAATTTATAAGTAGATATTATTGTAAGTAATTAAGTTAAAATGAATAATTAATAGCTAAAATGTCTGATAGATAATATGATCATTGTAGATTTGTTGCTATTTACTTTTAATTTTTATTGCATTTATTGCTATATAGGATCGTATACTTAATATTATAGCGAATATTCGTGCATGCCGGGCTACTTGCTGTTAAGCACTATTTTTGCATAGTGCTAAATTTTAATGCTCTCTGTAATGCAAAAGAAAAAAATGCATTTCACAGATCTATAATTAACATGCATCTGAACACTAATTAATTATCATTCTGATATAATTAATAACCATTCATTGATGGTTGCATAATAATAATTATTATATTATTCTTATTATCGTTTTGTATGGCTATTTCCAAATAATCTACCAAAAATATAAAAATTTGGTTTGACGCCAGTAAAAAATTTGCTTATGTTATGAAAGAGGGAATGATTTTAGGGATAATTCTTTCTTTTTTGCTTTCTTATTTTCGGTTTATTTTTTCGATATAATAAGTATTTTTCAAAAAATTTCATGTTGTTTAATGTTTAATAATAGAAATTTTGCAATATATCTCTCATATCAGTGCTAATGTACAGAGATATCATGAGGAATCGAATATGGACTTTAGCATCACTTTTTATGAATTGTTATTATTCTCATGTTTGCTAAATTATAGCATTTGATTACGCATATACATTCCATTTGTATGAGTCATACTGATTTATTCGTAACTGTATAGCATTTAGATCTATCAATTTGTTTTTTTTCGTACGTTTCACTCATCTACGAATAATTATCATTTCTTCAATTGATAGTAAGTTAACCTTTATCGCGACTTTTGGTTGTTTATATTAATCTGAATGAAGTTTAATTTTGCTGTGCAAATACCAGTTTATAAATGCTTTTTTTTTTCATTCGAAAAAGAACTATCAATAAATCTTCCGAAATTTTTTACAATACTTTTTATCGTTTATATCTTATAATCTCACGCAACGTTTATTTCAGTTAATATCGATCTAATATGCTATTTGAATATTCATTCCTCTGCATCTCCGTTCAGTTTACTTACTGTTAAAAGTTTTCTATTAATAATTATAACGCATACAATTTTCCACGTATTTTGCACATTTCCAGAAAGAAAATGTTTACATTTGAATTTTTATATCTTTTTTTTTTGATTCACATAAACCGTACAATAACGGAAAGGCGTTTTTTTTTTCAACGATCACTTTATCACTACGAGTATTGATATCCTTCCTCACATAGATTTATGTAAATTATATATCTTCGTGATTTTGATAATTGTACAATTAATTTTAGACTGTCTTTCACTGCACTTTTATACTAATCACTAAAATTGATAGCGGATACGCTGTCGTTACTTTGCAACTTTTGCTAATAATGCATATAAAAATATAGCTTTTTTTTTCAGGGATTTCCGGATTAATGTGAGAGAATTATTACATGCTCAAAAAATTGAAGTAGTTAGATCTTAATTTCTCAATTCGATTGCTGATCTTTGTTTATTCAGTTTGCCTGGAATAAAACTGGTCAATAATCGAATTTCTTTGCCAATTCGGTCATGATCTCTACGAAAACAATGATAAAAGATGAATTCACAAAATCGAATGGTTTAGAATATGAAGAAGATTGCGACATGGATGTGGAAAACGATGATGGTAATTATTTTGAATATTTCTGTTTTAAATTTGTTAATTTCTTTTACATAATTTGGTCACTGTTGTGCATTATATTGAGTAAGAGAAGGCGAGAGGACATTTGCAGTTTCAAAATCTTCTAGAAAATTTAGGAATATATTGTTTAGGAAATTTTATTCACTTTAGAAGATAAAAAAAGTACTCAAATCCATTCAAAATAAAAGTAAAAAATCAACACAAAAAATTGCATTGTTATTAGTAACTGATGATTTATCATGCAATACAGTCATTTTTTTTTTTGTATTTACTCTCATAGTGGTTTTTTGTTACTTTTTGCTTCCGAAAATTAAAAATTTATTATATAATGAATTTATCATTTAATTCAGAATCAAGTGTTGGTGGCACAAATGAAACGAAGGAAGAAAGTGAATCTACTAACGGTAAGATTCTCATAGTCATAGATTCTTCCTAATTATTCATCCATTATTCATTATTCAATTTTTCATCTATAAAATGTTCAGTACTGCGGGATTTAGACAACAATATAACTCAGATTAAATTACAAAGTCAGAAGATCTGGAAAAAGTCTACAAATTCTTATGTTTAAACTGATAGCAAATTTATTAAAGGGGTTACTTTTAACAAAAGTTCCAAATTAACAGAAATAAAGTGATACGAATTTAATTGGATTGGGCAGATCACCCAATGCACATCATCCTAATTTAACAACCAAACATTTAGTTCATTTATTCTTTGAATTTGCTGAATACTTTATGTTTGATATTAGTATTCCTCTTTCAGATCACGCTGAATTTGATTTGATTGTTATTATTTGACAGGGATGAAAATATGGTGAGTTGAAATAAATTTAAAAAAAAAAAAACATATTGCAGATGTTGGAGAGGAGGAAAACGATGAAGGAACGGCAAGCACTTCGGGAAATAATTTATTTCTTACACAAATATTTGCTACCCAACGGCACAAACCAAATCGGGAGGCAAAAATGCTCGAGACATCCATTGCTAATTTGAAGAAGAAATTGCAGACGCAAAGTCAAACAAATTTCTCATCTACTACTACTCATCCTCGTTAGCATTTTTTTAACTATAGCCTATTTAGGAGTTAATACTTCGGTTATCCTCTATTCTAATCCATTTTCATGTTCCGATCACTCTACTGATCATTTTAATGAAAAACAGTCAACAAAGATGCATGCCGAATCAGAAAGTGTGCTGTTGTTGCTCGTTGAATATTTGCTATGAGGCTGAGAAGATTGTTTGGACATTGATGTTGGTGTGTGATGGTGTTTGTATTTGTGAATTTAACTGCTGAATATTGCACGTATCTTAAAGGAAGGAAAGATTCTACGAGATATGGAGATATGAAAAAAAAAGGAAGCTACTTTTTTACAATATATTTGTTAAGCTTATGAAATTTGGCTCTATCTCATGAAATATAAGAGAATTTAGAAATTTTTTATGTTTCTAAATTCATTTCGATGACTTTTTTTTTTGTGTATTTGAAAGATTTCTTTTCTAATTCAAGAAGTGGAAAATGATAGTTTCAGGCCTGAAAAGACCGGCTACAGATACAGAATCAGCATCAGCAGTACGAGGAATAGAAGATCTCTCTCAGGTTACCTCCCGAACAGCTTTACGAGTTACCAGTGAAGGAAATCCATTAGAAATTGAAAATTATTCGAAGGATAGCTTCGATGAGGAAGGCGAGACAGCTGTTGGTAATGATAATTGAATTACTTCTGATGTATAAATGACCTAGAGCGTCTTCTACAATTAATTGCTACTGCTGTTTAACTTTTATTTAATTTTTTAAAAATTCATTAGGTGATTTATTTATTCTGTCACTATTGAAATGTAGCATTTTTTTGTTAGCCATTTTAATTCCATTAATAGCATTCATAATCATTATCACTGGATGTTCTTTAAAAGAACAGATAAAAAATGCCATCGCTAATATGATCTATAACAAAGGATTTTGTTTTAGAAAGAAGTTTGGCTGCTATGACGAAGTCAAAATATAGCAAAACAAAGGATTTTGTTTTAGAAAGAAGTTTGGCTGCTATGACGAAGTCAAAATATAGCACGTCATCAAGCAATCCGTTTCATGATGTAGATCATGATGAGGATGATGAAAGATCAAAAAACGACGCATTTCTGGACAGGATTTTCGGAGAAAGTAGTGAGTTCTTCACTAGTGTTTCATTTTCTTCTTTTACATCTTCAGTGATTCTAAAACCTTCATTCTAAGAGAAAGAAAGCAAATTGTTATTTCAAGAAGTGGATAACAAAGTATCAAAGAATTTCGATTTGTACGATGTCAATGAATCAGTTCAAACTTCTTTTAATCCTGCTGCTTATATTTCTAAAGGTATATTTTTTCATTGTAATTTATCCATTATTTTAACAATTTTTCTTTGTTCCTTTATTATAACTGATAAGAATTGATAACTTAGAAGGTATGATTAGATAAACAGTATGATAATGCAGTGCAATAACGGTATTTCACTGCAGTTTGTCTCCATAGCAGTTATCATCATCAAAGTTTGCAGATATGACATTGTCTGCGGCATTACGAAGAAGACGACAACGTCGAAATCCCGTATGGCCATATTTTATGGTAAAAGATGGAGTGGCAACATGCAAACATTGTAATTATAGTACAAAATCTGTGTTCAGCACTAATCTAAAAGTACATCTAAGGACACACCATCACGATCTCTTTGAAGAAGTTAGTTTTCAGGATGTAAATGATCTGAATTTTTTTAAAACGCATTCGCATTTTTGAAAAAAGAATTATCTCGTTAACGCCCGATGAATAGTCTATCATTATGATTTTTATGGTTCCGGATGAGAGTGCGTAGGAAAAAAAATTAGAGTATAAAACAGTTTTAGTTACAGTGAAAGTTATTTCGCACCGTCTAAATAAAATAGATTTGTTTTTCCTAGGAAAATATTAGAAGAGATTCATAATGTTTCTCAATGAAAATATTGAATAAAAAGGTTAAATAAAAGGACGAAGTATTAATAAATGTGGGCGCTGGATCGTCCTTATTGGAGGTCCAAATCATGCATTAAGCGAATGTTGACGTAAAATTGAAAATTTTGAAAAAATCAAAAACATACACATCCATGGCAAAAAGATTTTTACGCAGCGAACAACATGCAGTCTGGAATTTTCTGGAAAAGTCGATACAATTATCAATGTTGTTTGAAACTGAACAAATGGTTGCCTGAATCTTTAGAAGAATGACAGTTTTATTCGTCATTCTTCTAAAGTTTTGCGGAAGTTTTAGAGATATTAGCTTTTTGAGAGTGGGAGATTGCAAACAGACGTTAAAATTTGGGATAAAATTTTTGATATCAGAGTTTACTCTTCGGTTGCGTGAAATAGGAAAGTTCGAGAAAAAAGAAATTGTCTGTATAATTTAGATTATTTCTAAAAGTAATGCCAGACATTATAATTGCTAAAATGAAACTAACTTACTTTGGATGACGTGTTTTCATAACCTGAGAAGAAAGTAGCATAAATATTTCTCTATCGATTTTGAACAAATATAAGAATCATGGAAAAAGTGTGGTAAATTTCAGTCAACAGCCAATAAAGTTTGTTTTGTATTGGATAATAGAGACTAATGAAATTTTAATGTAAAGAAAATTAATGATCCTCGAAGAAAATATGACAGTTGGTTAAGTTGAGTATGATGGTTTAAACGTTGTTATATTAAACTTTTAAAACGCTTAATGCTTTTTTTGAAAATGATGCTTAATTGTAGGTGCTCAAAGCAGAAGAAGAACAACAGGAACAAATTACGCTTCAAAATTCTCTCTTGGCTACACGTACGACAACATCAGCAGCAACAATAAAAACTCCTTATATGCATCACGTAACGACTACTGCTCTACCGGCAGTTGGAAAATGTAGCAGCAGTGGCAGTAATGCTGGTAGTAGTATTGTTAACAGTAATGTGCTCCCAACTACGGGGTCTAATTTAAGCAGTGCTGCAGTTCTGCTGGGCATACTGAATCAAACCGGTGGCTTCCAAAGTAGTCCGGTAGTTACTACCACCACTACTGCTACCGCTGATATAGCTACTGTAAGTAATAGAACTCATACAGTGCCTACCACACCTCGGGGTATTTTGGACTTTCCGAAAGCATTTTCGGAATCACAACTTTCATTGGATTATTTAAAAACTACACCAGATCTCACGAAGAATTTGCCGGATTTCCTGAAAGTTATCTCAGAGGCTTCAATGAAGTCTGCCGCAAACGCACCATTGAATCAAACAAAAGTGTTTCTTACTGGTGACAATGAAAGATTGAAAACATTCAGCAAAATAGCACAGAGTAAGTTAGAAGATATAAAGGAATAATGAATTGTTCATATCTTTCTTACTACCCTATAATCCTAGTCTATCTATTTTGCTTGTTTTCTATTGTCTATGATCCAGAATTTCTCTCCACATTTAAATATTTCAAAATTTGTGCATAAGTCGATTTGATTTTTTCTATTTTTATCGTGGCAATTACTTCCTTTTTATCATCGTAAACATACATTTAAAAAATGATTAGTTTTGAATTTAATTTACTTGTCTATACTAAATTAGAAGAAATCTTCGGTAATCAACTTCCATTTTGATGAAGCATCACCATAGATTTGTTATTAGTTATAGTGTGAATCATTTGGTGGGAGTTTTTGATATTTGATAATATCCTGTCTTTTTCCATTCTGGCACAAGCCTTCTTAACTTCGAGGCTCCTTAATTTCCGTGTGAAGCTACTCATTATTCGAAGAAGTTGTTTTGCAGATTCACCATCGTCTTACAATGTAAATTATGCAAGTGGCAAGACAGACAAAATTATTCCCTCAGCGGGTAGCCAATCAGCAATTGTTTTAAAGCGGCGACGTTTGCGAAGACATCCTGTATGGCGATTTTTTAAGGATGTTGGTGATGGCAGTAAAGTGAGTAGCTTCTTTGGTGCATTGTTTTTCATCACAGTTCAAATAATTCAACTTTTATATACTGATGACCATATCTGTCTATTAATTTGGAAGCCATTATTAGAAGGTTTTTGTTAGAGTATTACAGAATTTTTGTTTACACAAATTTTGAATAGCAGGTGTTCCGAAAATTTGATCTAATAAATCTGATTATGTTGTTTTTATAATCTATGTGTAGCTTAATCTATAGAATTCAGTTATTTTAAAAATTTTCCAAATCGTTTCAAAAATATTGCTTATTTCAGACTGTGAAATGTGTTAATTGCCCATTCAGCACTTCATCACCGTTTAGTACAAATTTGAAAATGCACTTAAAAGCACACCACAAAAGTGATTATCGATTGATCTTAATATTGGAGTCTCGACAACGTCTGGAAGAAGGAATCAGTCCCATTCCAGAATCGCTTCAGACACCTTCATCTCCCTCAAAAAAGTATGTTATAATTTTTAACTTATTTTCATGTAAACAGTTAAAGAGTTAGAGCAGCTAAACTAGAAATTAATATTACCACTCACAGTCATGAATCAGAGTATCTTAGTTTTTGGTATCAAATATAGTGATTCCATCTCTCCTAATTTTTTTCCTGTAACTTCCTTCTAACAACTATTCTTTTCATAATAAAAGAGATAAAATATTTCGTACTGGTATGATTTCTTCTGTACTAGGTATCGAAGAACTGACGAATGATACTTTCAATTGTTGAGATTACATTTAAATTACTGACACTCTTTTATTCAGCTTGAACAAATATAATTTGTACGCGTATTCACTGTTGCTTTTCTTTAGAAATTCTCTTACCACATGATGGATTACTACATAAGCAAATAAAGTTAATGTAAGAACAGGGAAATAATTTCTGTAATATACTAAGAAAATGTTTCATTAACTACTACCTTTTGATCATCCACTTCTAAATCTCTAGATAATCATGCAATCAACCTGTTTACATTAAATTTATATAACATATAAAATATAAGATTTCAGCCTGAATGCCTCATTTCAGAACAAAGTCATCACAACTGGTAACCAACTGAAATTAGGTAGTCTAACCTACTAATACGCAGGTAGGTTAAGCGGGAGAATTAAGTGGATTTTTCCTTTCTCCCTGAATTTCGGGAAATTCATATATAAGATCGGCATTCTATGGCATTCTGTATTCTGCATTGTTGAACAAAATAGTCAGACAGTTGTAGATTATCTAGAGAGGGAAGTGAATAAAGAATATGATCTCAATAATAGGGGACAATTTTATGGCTTTTTTTGACATATAGTGAAAAAATATCCAACAACTAGATGACCATTTCTTACATACAGAAGCAGCAGCGAAGATACAAATATCAGCAGTGCGGAAGAAGAACAAACGGAAGCAAAGCGAAGATCCCTGAGGTATGTACTAAAAGATAACTTTCTTCACTTCTGATATGAAAAGATCAGGGTGAAACAAATTAACTTTCTGTTAATTAGCTACATTGATATGATGATACCAACTTAACTGAATGACATCGACTAAAAGTATTGATAGAGTGGAAAATTGTTCAACTCATTTAAGATGTTCAACATTTCAGTACAGGGAATTTTGAAGATGAAAGTTTCACATCTATGACTAATACGGAACGTGTCAAAGCAATGATAGAGATGGCGGCAGCAAGTCAAACGCAGGCAATGGAATTAGAATGTTAGTTTAGTTTTTGTTATGTATGTTAAATATTAAACCTTGCAATAATTTCAATGGAATTATTCCTATGCAACACTTCAGACCTGTTCTTACAAATTTACGTAATATATGTGGAAGCAACATGTTGAGACAAATAATAACAAATAAAATTTAAATTGTTTCACTACATTTTGTGCGTTGGGACTCAAATTTCTAAAAAAGCTCGTTAATTTGTTCTTACTTTCCTTGCTCTCTCCTTCCTACTTCCACTCTTTTTCAAACCTATTGCGTTATTAGTTTTCATCTCTCATCGTATAATTTATCGAAAATTTTCAGAACGGGCATTTTAATTATTTTTCGATTATAGTTAAGATTAGTAGAAATTTTCGATGGGGCGAAGAAAATTTGCCGGTGAAAATTGTCATTCAGCAAAAACTTTGTCTAGATTCACTGAAAGAAGATTCCCTCGGGTCATTTAGTCTTTCCCTTTTCTCTCTTCCTGGTATCCTTTTTTTCTCTTTATTTCCCATATATTTTTTCTCCTCATAATCATGTCTTTCCTTTCCTACTCATTTATGCGAGAAATACCTTTCATTTTTTTATTGGCAGACAGATCATGCAAAGGATATGATTTCTGATATGATACAAAGAATATGTTTTCCTGAATACGTTACTCAAAGTATTTCATGCTTATTTATCTATTATTCAGATCCAAATGTTGATTACGGTACGACTGGTGATACAAATAGAACTGCTAATTTTGGTCCTAATGAAGCATCAAACTTAGTCGATACCGAATTGCTCATGCGTCTTGGTTTTGCGAAATCGGATTTGATACCATCAAAACCACCGTTACAGAATAAATTTCTAAACACTCAGTCCGTAGTCAGTGGAAGCACTATCCGAAATCATCCGGTGAATGTGCATGTTTCAGCTTCTTTGGATACAACGAAGTCTGTTAGGTGAGTGTTTAAGCGTAATTTTCAAGTCCCAGAATTTATAATTGTAGTTCTGGTTCCCTCATTTTTTTCTCTATGTCAACCGAAACGTAAATTGCAGTAAAGAAGTAACATCTCGATAGTATTAGCGATAAGTAAACTATTCTGCTTGGCCGGCATTTGAATGCTTTGTAGTAGACGGCACTCTGCAATGTCAAGTACTTTATTGTAGAAAGAATTTTCGGATGATTGCCATCCCTAGAAATTTTGTCTGCAAAAGCCTATTCAATTACATTTAAATTGTATTTTTAACTCTTGTTTATATGTTAATGTTTCATTTATTTTTCCATAGATTTTTGACAACTTTGGATGTTAAAATCAACCTGTCTTATTGTCTCAGCTTCGATTGCTTCAATTATTCTCTATTCTCCTATATCATTGAGTTATTTTAGGACAATAAGTAAAAGGTTGCCGACGGGAGAAGTAGTGAAAGTGCGCCAAACACGTAAAAGCGTTGAAAATCCAGTGACTAACATAACTGCCAATACTTCTGCTGCAGCAACTGCAACTATTAATACTACAAAACCAATTGTGCCATCTCGTGATTTAACAGCTATAGCTACCACCGATGAACAATTTAATGCTATCAATTCCGCAAGAGATATTGCCCTCGCGAAGTTTTTAAGTAGAGCAAATGCGTTCCAGTTGCTTGAACTACCGGAATTTAAGGTACTTATTTTCTACATCTCTGCACTTTTCATCGAAATCATAATGTTCGGATTAGTTTTTCATTGATCGTAAAAATTTTTTATATGAATTTCAAAAATCCAAAAAAAGCTTCAGTCTGTCATCAAATTTATTTAAGCTGTTTCTGTTATTAATGTACTAAAAACCACTCGCCGTTCTGGCTTCCTTATTATTAAGCTCTCTGCGAACCATCCACCTCCGGTTGCAATTCATAATTTTAATTACATTCTAATACTATTTATTCCAGAGAGTAGTTTTTTTTTCTCAATAGATAACTTCCATTAGATCGCAAAGTGAATTTTTTACATGCAATAATAATATGTTTTAGAATTTTTTTTCCTACCTACGAAATTTTTATAATCTCAGTAATCATTCACATTTCCGTGTTGTTCCTTTAACGCAGTGCTGTTCAAGTAATGGCGTAAGCTTCCTGAAATCTTTAAAGGCAGTATATTCTACATACTTAGTTTTCTTTTAGCAATTTGTGGATGTATTGGATCCCACTTATCAATTACCTCAGAGTGGTTATTTGAAACGATTGTTGGAAATTAAAACGGGTGATCATGATCTGCCATCAGAATATCTTCTGGATATCATTCAGGAACAAGGAGAATAATGTATATGACAGGTGATATATTATCGATAATAATTCATCCAAATGCATTTACGTTCTCTCTCAAGTTCGGTTTTCAGTGATAAAAAATCAAGCATTTGCAATTTTGAACTGCAAATGTTGAATGTTTATCGTTTATTTCAAGGTTTATTTTAGGGATGCCTGTTTATATTCTTTGATATATTTTTGCGAGAAATAAATCTTGTGAGAATTTGAATACACTAATTTGTATATACGATTACAGAATTGGAGAAACTCATGTATCTCTGTACACAATGTGGTACGTTGCTTGAAACATCAGTCAGTAGGCCTTATTCTAACCATTGCAAATCTTCAGAAGATTGCAAGAAGACTCGTGACATTTCTTTATGTTTTCCACAGCCTTTTAATGCTTGAAGAATATTATTTTATGGTTTAATCAGATTTTTTAAATTTCTGTTGCCTATTAAACGGTTTATTCAATATATCATATGCTTTTAAGCCATATTACCTGCCGCCATTTGTTAAGTGTATTTTGGAAAATTTTTAACCTCATGTATAATGAGCTCTTTCGATCTTGTAACCGTTGTTAGTCTTTAATCCTTACATTCATTATTGCATCACTTTTCAATGAGCATTTAAAAATTGAAATCGTTTTTTGTAATTCACCCACTGTCTCTAACACAGAATATCGTTGTTTTCAAATCATTATTTATTATTTTCTGCAAAGGGGATATATATTGTTTGCTAGCCTGTTATGATTATGAAAATGAACAAATCTATGAAATTTTTATAACTCATGTTTAGAAAAGAATTGATATTGAGCCGGATCGATTGTTAATTAGGCCTTTCGCTTTAGCATTCCATTATTTTGCCGTGTTAATAAAAGTAATGTAAAAATTGGAGGTACATCACTTTTTGCTTCTTTATATCAATCATCAATTGCTCAAGTTATCTTTGTAATGGCCTAATATTTTTCATGCAGTATACAAATAAGGTCCTTATTAAATCAGGATTTATTCTTATTAAGTTATTCTATTTGCTGCAATGTATGTTCTTGCTTTTTACTCTCTTTCACATCTACTAAATACCATTTTAGCCTTATTCAGGATAGAGTGGCTGTTATCACTTCGTGCATTATGCAATTGCCTAGCATATCTGTATCTAAATTGATGCTATTATACAGCATGCATTATTAGCAAGAAAATGCTTTAAAGGATATGTCGACCATTTCCTTTATTCTTGTTGCGGTTTTTTAAGATTGTTACTTTGGATTTATATTTTCCATGAAATGGCCATGTAATGACCATTTTTTCAAGATTTCTGGGATTTATTCTGAAATTTGTTGTTAGCAATGGGCAAGTGCAATCGTTTTTGCCCATCATTTCATATCCATATTAAAGAACTATTGCCTTTGTCTTTTTAAAGTTTGTTGATGAATGTGCCTAATTATGCTCTGATTTCAGTTGATTTGAAATAAATTCAGTTTGCTATAATATTTAGTAGTTTTCAAGTAAGTATAGAATATACGAGCAGAAATTCTAATAGAGCATATCTTCATCTGAATTTCTTATCATCGTTTTGTTTTAGGTTTATTATCCTGCGCTTAGAATGTGGTGAAAGTAAGTGATGGTGTTTTTGACATGAGAATGCTTTTATGAGGCTTTTTCACTGAAGGTTTCAAGTTGATGGTACCTTTAGTGCTATTTTGGTTTGGATTGCAAATTTCCTACGGTTAAGAGCTTAAGTCAAGAAAAAATAGCGTTTAAATGCAACTGATTTTAGTTTAAATAATGCTACTGCAAGAATTGACTAGTGAATTTTGTGAGGTGTAACAGTAAAATTATTTCATAATCAGTTGCTTGTCTTGAATGAAATATCTGCCACAAGAAGAAATGGTAAACGTCGAAGAAAGTAATAATAATAACAATAATAATGATAATAATAAATCAGTTAAATGATTTCATTATTTTTCATGCATATGGTCGTTAATGCAAGAAATGATTTGTCGTATTCAAGTAATTTATTAATCGATAATTATGAAGAGATGTATATTTATTTGGAAAATTCATGAGAAGTAATCTGGTCATTCTTTTCAATTGCCTATAAATGCAAAACAAGCAGGAAAAAAATATTTTCCAGGAGTGATCAAAAACGATTGTTTTTGGAATCTTATTAGCTAGTTGATATTATGAATTCAATTCTTTTTTTAAACATTTAGCAATTAGCTTAAAAATTCTCAGATTGCATAAAAATATCTATTTCAAATATACAATGAAAGTTGTACAAATTGCACAAACAAAGATGTACAGTTTATACTGAAAATGAAACAAAATATTAAAATACCAGTACTCCACCTGTTCCCCCATTAAAGCTCGCATGGCCGGATGGTTTCGGTAGTATTGGTGTCGGTGAGAAAAGAGCCGACTGATTTCCAGAATCAATGGAACGTTTCTTCCTAGTTAACTGACCTAAAGCACCAGATCGTACCCAGTTGTTATCTTCTGGATTTTGAACACGTGAAAAAGCAAACCGAGGAGCAAAAACGGACAAATGATTAATAGAATGTGCTTTATTCATTCGACCAGTGGATGGATTATTTTGCTGCAGATAAACCATTTCCATGAAGTCTCGAATGTTCACCGGTGAAGGAGAATCATCGACTGCTGAAGTTTTTGATTGACAACAGCCTTCAGTTCTATCCCGACGTTGATAACCATAATTGCGTGATGATGGTCCGGCAACCGCATCACATGCTCCCGGCTCACCTCGACGATAACGAGTGGTGAATGATGATGAAGTGGACGGGCTGAAACTAGACGTGCTACCGACACCCGATTCAGCGTAGCTGAAACCGGATTCAGTCATTATGATTACGTATAACAAAAACATCTTTTCTACATAGGACCAACCAACCAATATGTCAAAGAGAAGAAGTTATATAAATGGTTTATGGCACGTAAACACGTAAACAGATATGTCGTTATCTTTATGTATAGATGTTTTTTCAACTGATTATAAATATTTACTCGTCAGTAATATATAATTTTACCTTGATTCTATCCGCTCCTTCGATACGTGATCCGTGCAGACAGCATCATATTGTTGATTATCAGATAAATTCTGTTGATATACCCGATCGATCAGTGTACGCCAATCAGCACACGGAGCTCGTGTCCATGAATGCTTCAGAATTGCATCCAAACTACATCGCTTATTTGGTTCAAAGCGTAAACATTGATTAATTAAATCCATAGCATCTAAAAAAAATGTTAATTTTCACTTCCAAAATTTCTGAAAATTCCAGAAAAAAATCCCTCAAAAATTAACTTCATTGAATGAAATGAAAGTCAATCCAAATGGAATTGTATGCTAATAATAGCTATGGATTTTTGTTTAAAAATGTTAAATACTACAAATTAAAATTTTTTGAAATATAAAAGAATTGTTTTACTCAATGAGTTTATTTCTTTATTTTATTTTTACTATTTTAAAACTTACTTTTGCTAACTTGTGCATAGAATGGTAATGGTCCTAATAGATGTGATGTGCAAATCTCTTTTTCATTACGAAATGGTAATCTTCCGTTGAGCATATTATAGAGAAGGACACCTAATGACCAGACCGCTGCTTCGCTACCCAAATATATCGAGTGCAAAAACCATTCCGGTGGACAATATAAGCGAGTTCCTGAAAGATTTGATGATTTCTGTTAAATGATTTAAATGCTATGATATTTTTAAGGTCATTTTAGCTTTCTATAATTCACTTCATTATCACTCCTTGTTGACTGATTAGATTTCTGAAATTTATCTCATTTGAATTTATATAGTAATCTTATCAGTTGACTAATATCCTCTGAGAACATGTTCATAATATCAGTGATGAAGAAAATATCCAGATAAGAAAGAAATTCGTTTTGAAATTAAACATATTATTTTGCAAAAATGAAATTCTCTAAATTAATCTGTCCAATAATAATTACTTTAATTAATGTGTACAATAATTACTTTAATAAATAAATACCCTGAAAATCGGTGTAGTGATTTTTCTTCAACAAAGTTGCAGCACCAAAATCAACCAAAAATGTTTTGCCGTTTACTAAATCAATCACTATATTTTCGTCCTGCAACTATTCAGTTAGAAATTTAGTTCAAAATAATTCGTTTATAAAAACTTTTCACTGCAAAAACAGAATAGCAACTTTGGGTACATTCTACCCCATATTGTCAGTATAACGATTTTTGATAAATGATTCTTTAACCCTCTCACCATGACGGTTCATTTGTGATGCGTTCCGTTATTTCTGCTAAACTTTTAAAGATTATATTTGAGTTATAAATCAATTTTATCAAAAATACATTGAAGAAGAATGCATTGCATTTTTTTTTTTAAATTAGCACAAAGAAATGATTAAAAATGAAATAGTAATCTTTTTTTTTCATCGGTTTCTTTACTCATATCATTTTATACAGTATCCGATATAAACCTTGAGATCACGATGTAATACTTTTTGCTGGATACAATCACGAATAGTCAGAGCTATTTGTCGAAATAAAAATCGTGTAAGCTGTAAAAAAAATTTTAATAAATTGCAAAATTTTTAGTTTGAAATCAATTTTGAATCGTTTTAGTATTTTATAGTATTACAAGTTTGTTTTTGTACTTTTATATTGCTAAATAGAACGATAATTAGTGAAGTAAAATTTTGATTTCAACACGTTATTTTTTTTGTAAATCAATTTAAATATGTTCAAAAAAAAAAAAACCAAGCAGTTACTATTGTAATCATCCATAGCTGCTAAACTTACATCTTCATCCAATTTCTTGTAACTTTTGATAAAATCAAAGAGGTCAACACATGGATATGGACGTGTCATTACAATCAAAAAACCTTCCGGCATACTGTACCAATCCAATAATTTGATCACTCCCGGTACATTAACACATCGTGCTAACATGCATATTTCCATTGGTAATCGTTCATCTTCTAACTGAAATAGATATTAGCACACTTTAAAATTTGATTAATGCTAAAATTTAACAATTTTAGTTTGCATTCGAATTGCATGAATTGATAAAAATAAATATTACCTTTCCCCAATTACGAACTTGATTTCGATCGATGAATTTAATAGCAACCGGCAATTCATCACAAAATCGAATTCCACAATAGACTACGCCGAAACCACCACGACCAAGCTCTCCTTTAAGTTTGTAACGTTTCTTAAAATTTGACAAACCACGGCCTAGAATTTAAAAAATATATGCTAAAATTTATTGTTACTGAAAATTGAAATTTAGCCATATACTGCTTGATAACTTTCTTCTAGTCATATCTATTCATATGCATAATTTTCAATTTTACCCATTTCTTTGGAATTCATTCATCAAATAATTAGATGAATGTATTTTTAGTTTCATCTAATTATAAAATAAAATTTGAATTACTTTAAAAATTTTTGTTACAAAAAAAACACATAATGAAAAGTACCATTTAAGAGTATTTTAAGATTGTACAATTGTACCGTTGCAAGTTTTTTTACTTTTTTAGCGATATGTGCCATAATCGCATGTCATATGATTAAGGGACAGTTTTTTCTTTTTTTTTTTTTTTTGTTCCTTCTTCTAATCCTTGCGATTGAGTGTGCGCCCCGAAATAACAATGGATTGTTATTGAAGTGTTGGTAATTGCTGTTTCTAAAGATCATATATACAAGATGTATGTTGGAAATAGATGAATGAAATCGGGCATTGAATATCACACTGATGAATCATAACAAAAGTCTCGTTTTAAAACCGGTAATAATATGCACAAATTTTCAAGTAAAGTTTATTGAAATAGAAAAAGCATGCTAATTCGAAGAGAAATAAAAATCATAAATTGTAAATTTTTGATAAATCAACTGAAGTATGTATTTTCAAAAAAAACATTTAAAAAAAGTAAAATTTAATTGTACAAACTATATAAATCCACTTATGTTTAACAAAATTTTCCAAGGTTTGTTACAGTCCAATTAACATTAGTACTTACTTCAAACTTAATCGATTTTATTCAGTGATCTTAATTAAATATTATCTTTTTATCAAGCAAGATATAGAAGATTACAAAGAATATTCCAACATTTTTTTAATTTCTCCAACGAAATAAAACTTCTTCTATTCAAAAAAGGAATAATAATGAGAAAACCGATTTATAACTAATCAGACTTATTTTTTGATTTGAAAGTACATTTTTTTTGTTCGGAAAAAACAACCAACTTTTGTTATAATTTCTGATCTTCCAAAATTTGTTTTTCTTTAAAATTAAATTCTTCATTTACCAAAATGATTAAAAAAACCACAAAGTTCAAAAATCTGTCAAATTTCAGGAACATTGAATTGTTACGATCAAATGTAATAATCGTTGTGTTTAATGAGGGAAATAGTACATGAGAAACGAATATAAATTATTAATTATCTAAAAATAATGGCTAGAGAATAGAAAATGACATTTATTACAAATTAATTTTACTTTGATTCTTGTTCCTTATGAATCTTCTTCCCTCTAAATTTATTTATGAGTTTTCGTTTTCTCTTTTCATATTACTCATTATGTGGCCAAGATATTTTCGCATCATTTAATTAATTAATTAATAAAATTAATTGATCAAAACATATTTACTCGCGTTATTTTGCCTAACGGGCAACAAATAAAAAGTGAAGTTACCAAATAAATATATCAAGTAAATGTTACAAAAATTTTCGGAAATTTGATAAACAAATAGTTAAACGAACGAATTTAATAGCAAAAAAATTTCAACTCTCTTGAATAATTTTTAAGTCGCTGTACTATTAAAAATGAAAAACAAAAAAAAAAAAAAACTTTTTTTTGATAATAATCTTATCATATTTGATAATTTGTCTAAACATACTAAGTTTAACTTGTAATAAATCGAACAAAAATTAAGCTATCCTAATATGAAATAATATTTTACGCGCTAAATGGAGAAGAAGAACAAGGAGAGGAGGAAGCAGAAGGAGAAGAAGAAGAAGAAAAGAAGGCGTTACACTCGTTTGAAATTTATTGAATAGTATTAATGATAACAGAACTGAAGACGAATATAGGAAGAATTAACAATAAACAGGAAAATTTGACATGAAGATTGAGATTGAGGATTGTTTCGCTTACAGTGACAGCTGTCAATAGTGGGATCAAATTGAATTCAAATGAAG